CATTTTTATTAAATATTTCTTAATTATATAATAAAAACTATTTTATTTTTCTAATAAAAAAAATATCTTGAAAATCATTTTTATAAAACTTATTGTATAACTATTATAAAGAACATGTCAATAATTATCAAATATCTATGTTATTATTAGAAAATGCATTTGAATTAACAAATAAATTATATATTTAAGCTGATTAGAACATATTTCGTTTAGCAACAGAAGGATAGTACTGTCATGCACCAATGTGTGCTATTTTATTTCGCACAAGCTCACTAGAAATATAGATATCTATAGTTACTAATAATAAAACAGACTCCGTGGGAGCATTTGAAAGGGCACCTTTTTCACCTTGTTGTTGGATTCCTTGAGGCTCTGAGGGGATGAGGGGGAGTTTTTGACTGGGGTCTTCTGCGGACTCGATGTAGGTTGCGCGGGAGTGGTTACTTCACACTCGTTAGAAGACGACGATTGTATAACAGACACTACAAGAGGAGGGGAGATCGAGGCAGACGTCGAGGGTATGGGTTCGGAAGGCGCTAGCGTTTCTATCGGGGCGACACTCAAAGATTTAGGAGGGGTTTGTTTTGGAGTAGCGACTTTCGCATTCATTGGTGGTAACATAGTCCTAGTCTTAGGCTTCCTCCACCCCTGCATAACACCAAGACGATATTAGTAGAACACCGATACCATCGAATAGCACAAAATACGGGGAAAATGTAGATTATTCGTATCCTTTTTTTTTCTTGAATTTAAATACATTTAGCATCGTCTCAATATTACCTAGTAGGAAGTTGTGAATAAAGTATGTATGATAATACAAGTATTATAACTTAATTTAATCTAATTATCCTTATTTAAGAAACAATTACTAAACAATAATTAATAAGAATAATACGACAGAACGGACTGTTAAGCATCGAGTGTATGCTCACCTTATCGTCGTAAAATCCTTGATCGTCCGTTCTTTGTTGTCCGAGCAATCGATCTGTTTCAAGATCGGTATCCGCTTCCTCTTCGTCTGGACATTCTTCAATTTCCACATCAGCTTCGTCACCTATACGACGCGCATCAGATTCTTCGCTATTGCTTTCCATACAGACTCTCCGCCTGCCATCCATTATACTGCATCTTAGTTAGATGCGTTTATACGCAATACAGAGGTATCCCAAAGGGTATCCCAAACGTATATTCGATATTGTAAAAGGAGAACTTTCATAGTGGTAAATAAAAAAAGAGCCAAGGCAAAATAATGGACAAATTTTAACAATTGGAATACCCTTAGCCACATAAAACGAAACGTAAAATACCTTGGTATCCATATCGGACTAACGCTCGGTTCCGGTGGTTCTTCTGATGGTGATTTCACAGGTAGAGCTTTAGTCCTTTGTAGGGCCATTCTAATATCTTTGATGGCTGCTTCCACCTCTCCACAATTTACTTCTAAGGATACACTCTGTCGTCCTTGAGGTGCCGGAGGTGGCGGCGTGCCCAGTGGATCCAATCCATCGAGTTGAAGCTCGTTCGTGTCGTACGAATTTTCCTTCTTCGCGACAAATAGATCAGGAGATGTAGTCTTCAACGTGTGTAAAATATCCTTTGTTACATTTAGACTAACGTCTTTCCCAGAGTCATTCTCATTCGTACCTAACATGTCGTTACGAGTTCTTTGTATGATCTCTTTCTCTATCTCGTTTATTTGCCGTTTCATGAGCATCACAGTAGGATTATTGTTGTCAGTATCACTCGCATGTCCACTAGACAGGCCGTCTTCTAATACTGGCATACTAGTGTATATTCTCAGGGAATCTGAATTATTCCCCAAATCGCCGACCGATCCGAGAAGGCCACTTGCTGGCATCAATTCATTATCCATCATCATGAGGGATACCTCGCTGTCCAAGTCGCCGCAATTACTGTCACAGTCGGTTGTCTCGGGGCTTAGTGTAAAATTACGCGAGTGTCCCACTTGCAAGCCAACCTCAGTCTCTCCAAGATCTTCACTGCTGCCAGTACCTACTGAGAGGTCCAAAAAGTTGTTTTCATGTTCACCTGTCTAAAGAATACAAAAAGCCAAATGTAAATATTTACTTCTATAATATCGTAATTACTGTTTTAAAATGGAAAAATTTTTCAAGCAGCTACACGGTGTAACTTTAAAAATTGTATCTATAAATATAGATTTATAAATATAGATTTAGAATCTATGTGACTACTGAAAGCAATATAATTTCCAAATTAATAATTAATAATTAATAATTAATACTTTTGAATTGTTAAAACATAATATTTGTGTTAAAAGTATTTTAGTGCATTTAACTTTATAATACATAAATAAATATTTTATATAAACTTAACTAACATAGGGAAACAAAATTAATGGTATATAAAAAAAATTATCAAAATAATTTCTTACTTTGTATATTGTCATATTTACATTTTGCGGAAATTCTGCCCGTTGCTTTTTAGGAGATTCATGTACCATAACCTCTTCTGTTGCAGGTGGACCACTAGCTAATCGTTGACCAACATATGCACTTCCACCTTGCCTTCTTAATTCATAATCAAGATCCTACAATAAATTTTTTAATTACAATTTATAACTTTTGTTCATTATCATATGCATATCTTCTTGGATCGAATATCTGCTTGGATTTTTTTTAACATCACTACTTATGAATTTTCTAATTATGAACTTTCATGTATATATATATATTTATTTGATATACATTTTATAGATCTCATTGAAAAGAACTCATTGAAATATCTCATAAACAAATATTTATGAATTTTTTTATGTTTCAGCAAAGACTTACTTGGAAAGGAAAGGATTCTATATTATTTTCCTTTTCTTTCGTCGGCGCAGGACATTTGAAGAATTCTTCTAACACTTTCCGTGTCTCTGAAAATTCATATAAATAATCGAAGGTGCTACCTCCCGGCGAGACAAGACTGCTTATATTATCAGCAGGCAAAGTTGATGGCTTTAAAGAATCTTCTTCCTCTTCGATCTTTGGTGATGGAGATGAAGGATGTATAGGCTGATCTTCAGTGCTAATATTTTCTATCACAGTCTTGTCTACTACGATTTCTGCAGAAGTATCTTCCTTCTTGGAATGTAAGATACATTGACGAAGTATTAGAGACTATTAAGCCATTTGATATAATATTCCATAAATGATATATATCTTTTTACCTCATTGTGATTTGGTGTTGTTGGCAATACTCTTTGAGGGAAACCAGGCCTCGGTGTCATATACATTGAAGGTGATGATAATAAGCTAGGAAGCTGTGTATTTTCACGAACTCCATAACGTCTCGGGCTGCCAGAATACTGAGCGATTGGTAATTCACCAATTACTCTCGCAACCTTATGATTACGTTCTGGAGAAGGAGAATCTGCTTCGCAATCACTCGCTGGTGTAACAACCTACAAAAGTTAAAAATTTGTGAAAAGTTCTTTGCATTTAAGAAACGCACGTGTCTATTATGCATATTACTTTGAAAAATTCTGAAGTATTGCGATGATATGCCGTCGTAGGACTAGGAGTACTTCCAACGCTGGAACTCGGTGGTTCCGGTGCAATACGACCTCTTTGCGAATCGTCTGTCTCCAAGTCTAGATTCGTCGTCGTAACTTGATTCGTATTGCTCGACGCCAAATCGAGTCGCAATCCCTGCCAATTGTCATCGATATCGTCGAATACCACAACTTCGCCGTCGCTGACAATAGCCATACTTCTCGCGGGAGTGTTGTGATTCGATTGATAATCTACGCAACTCTTTGGTAATCCATAGTCCAGATCGGTAATACTTTTTGGTACAGTATATTCTACATTATTGCTATTCAAGATTGAATCGTAATTAATTATGCGATTGCTGCGGTTGCTTTTAGGAGAGTCGTAATCGAGAATGGATTTCGTAGCGTTACGTCGCACCGAATGTACCTCGGAAGCAAACACGGTCTCTGTCACTTCTCGATTTGCACGTTGCTTTCTGGTTTCACCACATCTGAAAAAAGTTACAATTTATAGAACACAAAAGAATGTTATAGACAATAAATAACAATAACTTTGTATGACAGATGAAATATAAATTTAATTACCGACTTCGTAACTCCCATATGGTTTGCGAGTTAGGAGACTTATTATTCTTCTTAACAGACAACTTATTATCAGTTTGAATATTATCCTCGTTATTTATGGAATTTGACGCAGTCAGAAATCGCGACTTTCTAGCTGCCACCTTCCCTCGGCTCTGCGAGAATACCTCTCGGCCACCAGCGATTTCTATAATTCTGCAGGACAATAGAAGAACATTACATACTCATGACGATTTATATGACTGCAAAATAGTCCTAAATTATACGTTGATCATTTTCATCTTATCTTACTTGAACTTAATGCTCGTCAAAGTTGTCGATGTTCACATATATAAAATTAATCCGGTAAGGCTCAGGTTCTGTAACTTTTTCCATCAAATTCAATATATTTTCAATAGATATTCAATCGAAAGCAACTTTCGAAATAGATGACTTACAGGTACACGAACGAAATATTCTACAGCAGCTGTTCATTTTTATAAAATCATCATTAAACTCGGAGCGTTATAAATCTCGATGTCAGATTCGACGAGATCAATATTTGCACAATGTACTATACTGTATCGATAAGCGACATTCTTTCCGTTGCATCGTCAAATTGTGCACGTGGACGATTACAAGTGGTGAATTCTCGAAACTCGACGTCAGATCAGACAACACTGAACACCTGACTGACCTGACAGGCAGAGAGAGTTAACCCCAAAGTTGACGCGTGGAGTGCTTTGTGTTTTGCATTCCACGATTATATTTAATTCGACGCGTTCAGTCGGACCGATTCCAGCCTCACGCACAATTTATATAAGGAATAATAAGGCCCTGTCGGCACCTGGAATGCTTTATTGAAAAATGTTCATCGGGTCCGCTGGTGCGGAGATCACGACGACAAAGCGTTCACGCGAGGAAACGTGTGTAGTATAGACGAAAGAAAACGGGCGCGACTTTTAAGTCCTGTAACTCCCGTGACGCCCATTTGGATGCGCTCCCGTCGCCTTCGAGCAGTTGGAACGATTCGATCTTATCTCCTCGACGATTTACAGATCAACCAACGTCGGGAAGAATCAATGACGGATCAAGACCGACTGGATCCCGAGCCACAAACAGACTCTCTCCCGCTGAACATAAACTGACAGTGAATATTTATAAAGAATATTTATATATTTAGGATTTTTTTCAGGGGAGGGGAAGGAGTTTTTTATCAATTGTTATCGCAATTTTTGCGCCAATAAATTGTTTTTTTGGATATTTTAAAGCTTACATCTCCTCGCTCCTGATTTTAAATGAAAAAAAATATTAGGTTTTGTTAATTATAATTTTTAATCACAAATTTTGGAGGATGTTTTTGAATTCTCAAACTCTCCCACCCTGAATATGTCTATATGGCAACATTTTATATCAATGCTACAATTTCCTAAATATAATTATTATGTATAGATACAGCATGTGTTATATATTACACTTAAAATTATGATATTGATTCTGGTTATATGTTGTTCTAAGTTTCTTCAATCAATTATTCATCATTTATAATATGTCCAAAAAAAATAAATTCTTTTTTTAATAGGATATTAATGAATTTTGTTTAATTTGTAATAAATATATTTTAAGGTTATCACATAAAGAAAATATTCTTTGCTCAAAATAATCGTTACTTAAAAGAAAGAAAATAAATTGAGTAATCACTTTTCTTAGAAATAGAATGATATTGTTCTGTGTGCAACAATGAAATTTTCAGAACATTTAAAATGAAGATTAGTTGAACTCTATCGCTAAGGCGCATATCGGATATGTTCAACGGGATATGAGCTAAAAGTTTAGATTTAAAAATTCGTCGGATATATCGAGTAATTCCGATCGTATGTTGCGCGCGTGAAGTTTCGCCAATAATGGACAACTTCATGGGATAATTTGAAATTATCGGGTATCCGCGTTTGCCGACTATGCCCGAGCAAATACGGATCGAAATACAGAACGACGGAAATATCGGAAAATAAAAGATACTCGAACGTCTATCTACATACGGATTATCATCATCGATAAGCGAGTCGCTTTTCGAGTGCCAATCGATTAGTAATGACAAATCGATACCACGTCGGAAATTCTTTACAACTTGTTTCATTCATAAAGATATTAAAGTTTCTTTATCTAACTATGCGCACCTTTGGAATAATAGTTCCGCTCTCTTTAGAAAGATTCTTAACAAAATTCGAAAAGATATATATTAGGTACTACTATTACACGAAAAGAATCATTTTATTAAATGATTTAAATAATATTTATCATATTTTCATATTGTGTCATATTTTAATATTTTTTTTATTAAAGTTTAAGCAAAATTCTTTTAAAATGAGGCCTGCTCAATGACTCAATATTTATCAGAAATGTGATTTTTTTTAATACGTTGAAACATGTCTCACTGAACATTGAAAGGGTTTAAGTTGAATTCTTTTATAAGAAACATGCGACTTCGCTGCAAATCGCGAATAGTCGCGGAATATTATTACTGACGAAGACGTTCCATCGCGAGAAGCCACGCCTGAAAAAAAAAAGAGAGGAAAAATATTTGCCGAACGCAGATTACATCGTCGCGGGCATATTGACTTGTTTGCTATACATCGAGTAGCCCGCGCGACACATTAACGGTAGACGCGAAGAAGAGCGGCTGATATTTGACTGACATTTCCGCTGGAGTATATCGTCGGTATTAAGCTTGAAATTAACGCCCCATTGAATATACATGGACATGACGCGCGCTGGAATCCTCGCTGCTCTGTGGAAACCTCTGTAGAAACTGTATCGGCTATCGAAACCGAGCGCTCGCGTCCACTGTAGATACACAAAGACCGTACGTCAAATGGACTTTCATCGTGACGACGGACACGTTACATCGCGAGCGAACGCTCGAATTTAACGTCGCGATACGATACGTAACACACTTTTGCGTGTACACAAGTGTTCGCACACGTCGGCTTTCGCCGTTCGTTATCGATTCCTCCGCACGATTTAATCGTTTAACTTGGTAATTCAAACGCCCCACAATTAACTTTAATTTCTATTTTAACACGTTTCCTTTTTAAATATTGAAACTGTAACCCTTCTCTTCAGTGCACTTTTTATATTTCATTTTCATTATCTAAATTTTTTAAGTACATTATATAATACAATGTTGTAATATGTTGTGTAGAGTTCATAATAACTATTACCTTAAATATCTTCGAATTTACTGAAGTCCAAAGGAAAATTTGTGTAATCAAATTACACAGAAGGGAACTATCATGTTGCGATAACAATATTTAACCAGGTGGAGGTGCTTTGAAGATTTCAAGGCTGTTTTCGTTTTTTGAATAAAATTACATGATTTTTTTTTTAAGTAATATATGATATCTCTAAATATTTTCCTATATAAAAAGTATTCAGATGGAGATATCAAAAAATCAATAGTTTATAAGAGCTTTTATACTTTATTTTTGCACATATTAACATGAAATATAAAATATCTCGTAAATTTGTAATTAATTTTTTGACAATCGTACATCAACACTTTTGCACTGAATGATGAGTTGAATTAATTGATATAAAGAAATTGTGCAATTTGTAATATGCAAACGTATCTTTGTGAAAATCAGCTGTTTTTGAAATTTCCGAAACGTCTGAAAAAAATGTATTACTGCCATATGTTGTCCCTTTTGTGCTATTTTAGTAACACTTTTCCTCTTTATAAGTTCAAAGATATTTAAGGCGATAATAATTATTAAGACACTTCGTGCAGAGACTGAACAGAGTATTAAATTAACTCAATTCTTTCATATTCCATTCAGCTAATTTTTTAAATCCCATTAACTACAAATATGTAAAAAAGAAGATATTTAATATTCACTAAAAATTTGTATTCCCATCTTTTTTTCTATATTTTGGAAGATTAATCGTAAATATTTTATGATAATATTTTCATATGTATTCCGAAGTATGGCGACTAAAATAGCGGCAATTTGCTACATATACATGGCAAACGTAGCTAAAGTATAACGTTTCCGTTGGTAATAAATCTTCCGGAACTGTCGGTATTTTTCGAATTAATTACATTTCTGCAGAACGTTAAGTGATTCTTGATTACCTCGAATCCCGAAGCTTATAGCTGGGGCCTCCCTTGGCCGAGGTCAAAATGTACACAGGGCTTCCCTCGGGTCCGCTATCGTCTTGCTGCGATTGTCCCTGATGATCACTACCCGGCAGGCTACCGTATTGTGGCGCGTCCTCACTGCGTCCGGACGCCGAGGAGGAGCTCGATGAAAGCGGCTTCGTGGCGTGCGGCAGTTGGCCCTCGACCGTGAAACCGGGCACCACGCTCGCCGTCCTACGGGACAGCGAACCTGATTTTTTTCTGCCATTCGCTCGTTTCCTATACCTACGAACGTAACTTGGCACTCTTAACAATCGGCAATCGATGAAGGGAATACAATTAAAAAAAAAAAAAAAAGAGAAAAAGAAGAAACATTCCGGACCATCGCTTTATGGTGGGACATAAACACACGTTTATTTGATTATAATTGAGGAGTTCGATGGAACTAATGCGACTTCGACCCTATTTCTCCAAAAATTTGAAATTACATTTAAAATTATATTAAATAGTTGATAGAAGAAATTTACTACTCTCGAAGATATGCGACGTATCTTCGCCCATAAAATCTAATTATGTTTTACACTCCTCTCGCGATGTAGCTTTTCATCTTCATTCCGCACGGCCTGCGCTCCATCTGGCTCCTCAATTACATAATTAACCATCCTATAATTTTACATGAACGTTAAGTGGAACAATTGCATAATAAAAATATGTACAGAAATAAAATCTTTCATATCATTAATATTCTGCTCGTTACGAGCTCATTAAAAAGTGATACGGATAAAAGGTACAATTATTATTGTTAAATGTACTGTTAAAAATTACACTTATATAATGTATATAACATTATTCCGCGCGTATTTAATACTTTATATTATATATAAATTTTCTGCTCTGCTCTGCTACGTAAAATGAACCTTTATAAAATATCGACGTCAATTTTAGAGACATGTCTGCATATATTGGATATACTGTCTACTGGAATATTAGATTGTAAGATTCAAATTCATCAGCTTTTTTTCGTAGTACTTGCGGAGTTAGCTCGATTAATCCGATCGAGTACCCCGCTTCGCCTTCTCTTACCTCTCCCCTCACTTGGGTAAATCGGTTTAACTTGCCTGTCGGAGGTGTCACGCTCGAGGTCGATCATGTCGTCCGATATCGCGGAGACGCTCGTCGACGTGTTCGTAGAGGCGATGGTGACAGCGGTTGTTGCGGTGGTCGCGGCGGTGACGGTGGTAGTGATAGCGGCGGCCTCCGTCTGGCAGGGGCTGTCATGCGGCTGCTGGCTGCTCTGCGTGGAGGCCCCCGGGGCCGGGGGTGGACCGCCCCTAGGCCGGCATTTCGGAAAGAGTCGATTCAAGTCGGCGTTCTCCAAGATCAGGCTTGTCATCGCCACGGCGCATTCATGTCTCGCAGCAGGATGTCCATTCTACGGGCACAGAGAGGATTTCGCGCTGTTAAATGCGGCGTGGATGAGACGCGATGTCTGTTTATGCGTTCCCGCATTTTAAAATAGGTGTATATGCTGGACGCCAGGAGGCGAGAGACATCTCAGAGCGTGCGTCTCTCCTTGTATTCTTCAACGTCTCACGAATGTCTCTATCTACTTGCACATGTGTCATGTAAAATGTCCAATGATATACCCATTTTCCTTCTCGGAAAGATTTAAATGATATTTTTCTTAAAAAGAAAATATTCTAAAGATAATGATATTTGATGTATTTAATATGCTCTAAAAAATGTTAATACAGCATATACTATTTTGATTTGACTACATTGATACAAAAATTTAAAAATTCTCATTTCAAGCTTGTGAAAATTTTACATAAGATCGACTTTTCTGATTTCCAGAAATAATAAAAGACGTTTCTATTTTTTTTTTATATCTATTATAAAAATCATCTCGTGAGTTTTTTAGGGAAATCTTCGCACGATATTCCGAGTGCAAAGTGTTATACTCCAAGAGAGTAAATCATATTTTTATTTGTATATATAACTCTCACCATTGTTGGTATTTATATCAACGGGATTGGAGGATTATAACCACACGTTGATAATTAAATCTGTATCCATATTTTTTGGATTGTGATGATTTGCGCTGCTAGTTTTAAGTTCCCTGTAGAGAAAGATCACTATTACAGTTATCTAAATGGGTCATCGTGAAAATGTGTGGATCACCGCAGTTTCGAGTAGCTCTATATACGAATGAAAAATCTCTTCCCTTTACTCTAACGGGGTCGTATTCGTGCGAGAACAACGCGCCACTCAAATCGCGCCACCACTCGTGTGCGCGACACCGAAAGTGTTATACTTCATACAGAGCAGCGATGTTCAAAGGGGATTGGAGCACTGCGAGCAGAAGGGTTGGGTCAGTAGTTTATATGGGGTGAAACACACAGAGATTGTAATGTATTCGAACGAGCAGCCGGTTGGCTTCTTGCGTGCCCAAAATTATTGGAGGTAGATTATCCAAAAGAGATCTTTGCGAGATACATCGATATTGATCTCTTATTTTTAAATTGTTAAAATTTAAATTGAATTTCAATCATACTAGATTTTTGGAAAAATATGCTTCCGACAGCGAGTATGAGCTGTTTTCATTGATACAAATATTATTTTAATTCTCCCCTGAAAACCTTAAAAATACATTTATAAATTCTGATTTATGACACATTTATAATTCTGATAGACAAATTTAAATTTATAAAAAAATAAATAAAATACAATCTGAGATTTTTTACTTTCATTACGGTAAAAGTTTTTATACAAAATTTTTTCTAGTTTTTATACAATCTCCGAAACGATATAAAAATCTGTACTGAAATTCAAAGATCTTAGAATGCGAAGGGTGGAAATTCGCATTGCCGATGTAGAATTAAAATTATTACAAAATTATGAAAATTTTTACATACAAACGATTTTTCCAATTTTTCAGAAATAATAAAAAATACTTGTTTTAAAAAATCTATTGTAATAAATTATGAGCTTTCGAGAATTTTTGCATGAAATTCCGAGAGAGAGCAATTGTATCTCCAAGAGGATGAATCATCTCTAATTACACAACAATAATTACCTGTCGCAAGTTTCTTTCATTTCACAATAGGCGTACTCGAGCGTACATATACATCGCTAGGACAAGTACCGGAAGTTTCCTCTCTTTGCGAGCAAACGGTTATTCCAAAACTCGAGTTATTACCTCGAGCAGCGCTCGTTATGCGCAGCCGACCAACCCCGCCGCGAACTTTCCGCGCCGAATTTATTGTTATGCAGTAACTCCGATGCAAGGGAAGTCTCGTTGGGTACCTTATCCAAGATGAATTTTACGCTTTTAATTAACAACTTTTCCCGCTCGGGACTTATGAAAATTCCGCGGTCGATGTCTCGGGTTCTCAATCGTGTTGATTCTCCTGATGACGCTTACATGGTTCAACCAAAGTAGAAATTCTACATGTAAGAGTTTGTTCCACTTATATTGTTGTTTTTTATTGGCTTGATGAAAAATGGCAACTAGTAACTAATCACGTGATGATAATTTAGCACGTTTATGACAAAAATGAAAAGTACGTGAAATGTATTATACAATTATGCAAGTGTACGTGTATGGTACATTTTCTATCAAACTGAAACATTGGCCAAACTTATTTCTAGGGGCTTTAATTCAACCTACTTTGAAAAATATAGAAAAATGTTGCGCATTCAGATGTAAAGTAATCGCGAATTTAGTTTGAGGAATAGATGGTAAATAGAAAAAGGGTAACTTACGATGCAATTGCGTTTGTAAATAAATATTGTATTTTTTGAGCCGGGAGATTAATTGTTATATTTACTATACATATCTATCTATTGGAAATTGAACACTTGGAGAAAACTGAATCAAGTTTAGTTCTGAATTTAGAGCGTGTCACAATAGGATGTTCTAATTATTATTATTTTTTTTTTTTTTTCGAGAACGTATCCTGATTCGTCATACTGAAGGGAGGAGATACTTATAATACGCATGCATGAGTCATCATACGCAGCGTTCAATTGGTGTGCGGCGTGAGTTGAGCATGAGTCAGCGCTGAATTGCGGAGCGACGTAAAGGAGCGAGCAGACACCATATATTCGCTAATTTATATTATATACTTCGCGTTATATATCGGCTTCATTTACGGAAGCACGTAGCTGTGCGAGGAACGGTGCCGTTTCGAGGGAACTCCGCGCCGCGCCGCACTGGACAGGCACGGGGCATTATTAGTTTCGCATAGCTGAACTCGATTTATCCTTTCGCGTCCGCCCGTCGCCGCGGCTTGGCATCCGACAGGTAACGTATTCCCGTCGGTCGTTTCACGTGGCATTTTCTAAACGAGAGACTGTGGATCCGTGTTCTGTTACATGTACCCAGTTTCTCCCTTCCTCATTGGAGTATTTTCCCATTGAAAGCACGAGAGGAAGATGAAAAAAAAGTTTACGTAATAATATACATACAGTACCGCATGGCTGTTGAAGAAAGCACGATTTGTTCTATAAACGGCTGCGTAACTTTTACGTAATATGTGTAATGCGCAAACGTATGTACGCGATAGATATATAATAGAATTTGCCACGTGATATGGTGGTCTCATTGTGTTCTGTCTCATTTTTCGTAATTCGATGGAAAGATTTGGCTGCTCTTCACTGGACGCCAATGCGAAAGAATTACGGAAGCACGCGAGTGATGCGGGCGTACGTTGGCCCAAATAGCGTATAATTCGTATCATAGAATCTAGACCTTATGCACGTAGAACTTAAGAACGAACATTCCTCCGTTCCTCGACAGTGATAAAAGTACGCTTTCGCCTACTTGGCGCGAAAGCGGAATGAACGAACGACGCGTTACCAGCCTCTCCTCGCTCTCTATGTAACAATGGGACCTCCATGAATCTTCCATCATATATGACGGGACATGTGATCACTTGCTGGAATGGAGGAAGATTGCACCGGCGAAGCTAATTTTACCCGAAGAGAAATGTCCGTAATTCTCGCTTTGTTCCAGCATGAAATACAGATGTCTGATCATCACCTCCTATTAGTATCATATTTAATCATGAGTCCGCAAATTTTGTTGTTTATACCATAAAAGTTTCAACTTTATAT